AATAATAATAATGCCAACTATATTACTAATATTAACTCCAGCGGCCAATGCCTATAAATCACTTCCTTATAAAAGCTGGGCTGAGTCCTCGATCTCAACCGAGTCTTATAAAAATAGTAATAATATAAATATTAACACATAGCATCTTAGATCTAATAATAATAATGATAATGATATATTTTTTCAATAAAAATTTAAAATTAATAACCGCAATAATAATAATCATACAAATGGTAATAATACCTCAAATGGCCATTGCTTTTAAATCACTTTTCAATCAGGCCCAAACTACATCCTCGTTCTTTCCCGATTAATAGCAATAAAATTAATATTGACAATAAGAGTAATAATAATAATAATAATAATTATTATTATTATTATTATGCCAACTATATTACTAATATTAACTCCAGCGGTCAATGCCTACAAATCGCTTCCTTATAAAAGCTGGGCTGAGTCCTCGATCTCACCCGAGTTTTATAAAAATAGTAATAATATAAATATTAACACAATTGCTTTAAAACCGCTTCCCCATCCAAGCGATGTTGGGGGAGGCCATCCAAGATAGCATCATAGATATAATAATAATAATAATAATAATAATAATAATAATAATAATAATAATAATAATAATAATAATAATATTAATTTTTAAAAATTTAAATTTAAAATTAATAACCGCAATAATAATAATCATACAAATGGTAATAATACCTCCAATGCCCATTGCTTTTAAATCACTTTTAAATCAGGCCTAAAATACATCCTTGTCCTTTCCCGATTAATAGTAATAAGATAATATTGACAATAAGAGTAATTATATTAATAATAATAATAATAAGTCTGGTAGGCGCAAGGCATCGACAATAGAAGGTGAGATATTCCTCGTTTCAAAACTAGGCTTTCTAGACTACCATTAGATCATATATGTGGAGTGTATTCACCCTATTTGGTCTATGACGATAAGGGTAGTTGAATTTTGTTGACAGTAGCTAATCAAATCACTTTATACCTGATAAAAGAGGTTAGATGTAGAGTACATATACTACTTTTTAGGGATTTGCCGGTGAGTTTTCTTGACTCGTTAGCTCGAAGTTGATTGTGACGATGATACCCTCGATGCTCTGATGATGTTCTTCATATGAAGGACGAAAGCTTAGCACATTTTAACCGGAATCGAAGGAGATTGCCTCGGAAACAGCGTCAGCATGAATGTCGTCTTCTGATTGGGCCAACCTTCGAATCTCTTCACCAAACACCTTCATCTGAAATGGAAGTAAGCTCAGCAATTATGAAACAAGAGATTCCTCGAAACTCAACTTTTTTTCGCATAGTTGAATTTTCCCACAATAATATGTGTAGGTCTTACATTTTCATTTACTCTTACACAGGCATGCTTCCCAAAAGGTATCCTTATCCCAGCTGGAGAGGACTGCAGTTTTGACCACGCATGAGCTGGTCTCATCAGCACCACCAGCGGGGCTCGAACCGTGACAGTGTCGCTTATCATCTTGCCACGTTACCCACTGCATCCGACTGTCACAAGTGCCCTTGAGTCGCAAAGAATATGGGAATTTCAAAGAAGGCGAGGCATTTTCCTGTATCACATTTCGTGTTGTGATTGTTGATGAAACCAAGTGGTATTTGCTATGGCAATCGACTGCATTAGTTGTCTCTCGTTTCATAACTGGCCGTTTCGAGACTACCAGTAGATCGGATATAAAAGCTGTATTCATCTTGTCTAGTTTAAGTTGACGAAGGACTGATAGTTGAATTGAATGAATTGAATACAACTCATATATCAGGTCCACTGGTAGTCTCGAAAAAGCCACTTACGATAGGAAAAATAGGTAATAATAGCAAATACAACTTTCTTTCATCGACAATCCGATCACAGAATACGATATGGGAAAATGCCTGGCCTCGGAACAGTCTGTCGTAGCGGGTAACGTGTCGCGAGTATACACTGCACTGACATAGTTCGAGTCCCGGTGGGGGTGCTGATGGGACCAACTCATTCGGGGGATGAGAATATCTTTTGGGAAGCATGTCTGTGTGTAAGCATATTATTGTGAGAAAATTCAGCTACCATTCCTTCATCACTTTAGATAAAATTGGTAGAATTCAGTTGGTAGATAAGGTGACATTTTTGTCTCCCAACGAGGTTTTCTGGGGTTCGAGCCCTCATTTATGACAGCCTCTCTTGCTTGTTGGGGCGCACGATCCCAGTACGGGCAAACTTGTTGCTCGTAGCAAGCCTACATCTCATTAGTCCCTTCGTCCAGTGCCTCATTTCTTCTGCTTTTGCCTTCAAGAGAGCTATTCGGGTTATGTGGGAGAAAATGCCCACTTTTCTATATCCTGCAGGGTCGGCTTTAAGCAATGCTTGGCATCGTCTTCCAACTGCCAAGAGCAAATAATCCTTTCCCCGTCAATCGGTACGGCTCTCCGTGTATAATGGAGAATTATGTATCCTCATGAAGAGCTAAAGAACTTTTGCCAAGCTAGCAAAAAGCAGATAGCCGGCCTTGTCTATGTGCAAGCAAAATGGTCTAACAACGCTTCCTAATGCAAGCTCTCCCGCTTTTCTGGTAATAAACAAGAGTGGAGGCGGGCACTTGAGGCAAATATTCCGTTTCAGCTACAAAGTTACGACTATGAAATCCACTTTCACTAAGTACTTTCATATGTTAGCTCTAGCAAGTCTTTCAACTTTAAAAAGTCTAAATGCAAAAATGACTAAGACACATTTATAAGCAAACTCTGCTCTTTCTAGCCATTCATTTGACCGCACTGCTTTTGATTCTGCTTCGGTCGGCAAGTCTTCTTCAGGCGTTTGGTGGCCAGAATGTATTTGTCTGTCCATGGCTCAGGAGAGACGCAACTGAATACTTTTGCTGTACAGGCTGGAGGAAGTCGAGCTCAGATGCGGACTCGGTGCTGGGCTTTTGAGGGGAGAAATCCGACAACATCTTCTTTTCATATGACGCTTTAAAGAGAGTGCATCTGAACTAGTTGTTTGGAAGTATGAGAAGCAGCAGCAGCCAAGTCTTGCACACCAAAGTTCGAGTCCCGTTGAGGCGGAAGTGGCACCAACCGACCATCCCGGTCCCATTTGTCGGTCTGCCGCCAGCAGACCTATTCTACCGAGTCCTGGACGTTCTTGCCTGATGGCTCACAACTGCAAAGAGACACCAGAAAGCATACCTTCTATTTCGTCCTTTGGGATCGTCTACTCGTATTCGAATTGAGTAGTATTTCGGTACTACCTACAAATCTATAATAATAAGTTTGGACGCTCTGAGTCGCTTGAGGCGATGAAAGATGGGCAGTTGAATTTGCCCAAAATTTAACCGTTAAGAGGATACATAATTGTTCGCCTAAAAAAGTCTGATTACAAGTTTAGCCTAAGAGAAAATTTAAGAGCCGACTGAATACGGTAGATATGAATAAGGGTTGGACTTCAAGGAATCCCTCAATGGCATAGTTGCAGTCCCTTTACGTCGCACAAAATGACGAAGGATTACAAGTTGAATTGTCCATCCTCAAAATGCTTGCCGAGACTCGAGCCCGGGTTATGCTACCGGCAAGTTACTCTGCTCAGAGTGGCTATAGGTCACCGGGCAGTTATGAATTTAAACAAAGACCAGGCATCATCCATGTGCAATTGTGTAGTGGGATTGTGGATGAGGAAAGCCTGTATTTTTCCAGTACAATCGAATACGTTTCTTAAATCCAGAGAAAGTGGGTCCGCGAAACTATCTGCTCATCTTCAAACAGTTTTGGATCGTCTTACCCGCCAGTCAAGCATTAACTTCGGTGGGGTTTCAGCAAGAACTGATGCCTGAGAAGACAATTTGGGTAGCAAAGCCAAACGAAACTCAGTGGAAACCTGATGCCTATTCGTCAGCATATTATGCGATCAAGGGGGACTGAAACTAATAATTCGTTGAAAATGGCATTTCATGTCATCTTTCGTTTTGTATCGAAGTTGGAAGCGAAAAATCCTCGAAATGACTTTCTTGACGGTATCAGAAGAAAATCATCTGCAAGCAGTTACCGTTGCTTGTCGCGAAGAGGCTTCCACGCAGCAGCATTCCAAGAGTTCAATCCATCCA